AAACAAAGAAAAGAAAAGAAATAACCTTGTCTTCATAGCCTCCAAGTTTATCCAGGAATCCTCCCTTATCCTACATCAATAGCTATGACTTTCGTGTGGGATTGAATGGTAAGCTACCACGGTTTGCATCATCACAACTTGCACAATTTGGGCACAAAAAAAGTGCTTTACGTAGTCGATAAATTTAACCTTCGCCTCAAATGACACAATGACATACTCCAGAAATGATTCCAGATTCCTAGTTTTATTCCTCCGTTTATCATTATTATCCTATTCTTTGGCTATTACCCCTTCGCTCCAGCCACGAGGCATACCATCATGAAGCCCAGGGTACGGATATGCCCCCCTGGTATGCGAGCCGTCAAGAGGGGCATCTTAGGGGCATCTACGGAGAATAATACATGCCCAGCCAACCATAGGCCCCCCCGACCCAATGCATACGTGCATAGATTAGCCAAGATCATTAGATATAACGGGACCTTCGATATAACGAGCCGTCGACGCATAGAAAACGTGGATTTCTGGACATGACGTCACGCTGTCAACTCGTGTCACGTGCCCAGTGAGAATGTTGAAAAAAATCCCTGTTTTGGCGGAGAATTTTGGGACGAAAATAATACCATGTTGGTATTTTTTTTAAGAGGCAGGTGACCACATGAACATAAAAATTGCCGAGTACGTGCTTATATACTAGTCTTTGGTTAATGTAGAAGAATGCAGACGCTTAAGATTAAATAAAATAAATTTGTAATAGTGACATATAAGTGACCATGTAAGTACAAACGTTAATGTATTTATGTATGTGTATGTTATGTATATATATATGTATTAATATATAATCTATATATATATATATATATATATAGTATATATATACATATACACACTTCACACACATGTCGCACGCGTGTGTGTGTATGTGTGTGTGTGTGTGTGTGTGGTGTGTGTGTGTGTGTGTGTGTGTGTGTGTGTGTGTGTGTGTGTGTTGTGTGTGTGTGGTGTGGTGTGCGTGCGTGTGTGTGTGTGCGCGTACGCGCTTCGCTCGCAGCCGACCCCCAACAGACAGACGCGCGGCGGGGCGGTCGATCGCCCAGCGCGCAGCCACTTCAGGTGTCTGGCTGCTGGCCTGAAACAGGACCGGGACCCGTGCTTGTTTTTGCCCCTGAAGCGTGCGTTATTCCGCGAGCCGTGGCGGTGTCGCGTTGCAAGAGGGGCAGGGGGGGGGGGGGGCGGGGTGGGTATGGGGGTGGAAGAGGGGGTAGGGGGTGGGTAAGCGATGGGTGGAAGGAGGGTGGGCGGGGAGGTTGAGGGGAGGGATGGGGTGGGAGTAGGGGGTTGAGTAAGGTGGGTAGGGATAGTGAAGGTGGGCGGGAAGGGTAGGAGTGGGCCAGGGATTGTTGAGGTGGGCGGGGAGGGAGTAAGGGTAGGGGGTAGGTAATTGTAGGGAAGGGTAGGGGAGGGGTAATTGTAGTGAGTAGGTATTGTAAGAAGGGAGGGTAACGATAACCCGAAGAAGGGGAAGCAAGGAAGCAAGACCCAAGCTATTTTTTTTTTTCCCAGAACACAAACCCAACCTTCGCATCTTCAAAAACGGATCTAGAAAAACGCCAGACGAGATCCACCAAACGCATAACACACAGTGAACAATCACCGAGGATCCGTTCCCGATGTAGAGAGACACACACACCACAACACACACACACACACACAACACACACACACACACACACACACACACAACACAACACACACACATACACAACACACACAAACACACACGACGCACGCATGCCGCACACACACACGCACGCACACACACACGCACGCACACACACCACACACACCACACACACACACACAACACACATACACACATACACACAACATACACACACGAACGCACGCATGCACGCACACACACACGCACGCCACACACACACACACACACACACGACACACACACACACACAACAACACACACACACACACACACACACACACACACATACACACACATACACACACACACACACACACACACACAGCACACACACACACACACAACACACACACACACCACACAAACACACACACACACACACACACGCACACAAAATGCTGACACGTTAATTGCGATGGCGAACGGCGATAAGACGAACCCCCATCTACGAACGGTGGCGCGGCGTTCTCGTCCCATATAAGCGAGGCTACGCTGATCGGGAGCCGTTTACGCCGCAGTTCTGGCAAATGAAGGCTGCGGCGTCCTTCTAGGTGGAGAACTTGCGCCGCCGCTTTTTCTTTCTTTCTTCCTTTCTAGTGATTCTTCTTCTTTGGCCGTTCGTTCTTCTGTCTTCTTGGCGTGTTGTCTGTTTTCTTCTATCTTCTTGGGTGTGTGTTGGTGTTGGTTCTTCTTGGGTGTGTGTTGTCTGTTCTTCTTCTTCTTGGGTGTGTTGTTGTTCTTTTTCTTCTGGGTGTTGTAATGTTGTGATTCTCTTCTTCATTGGGTCTTCTCTTCTCTGGTGTGTTGTTCTTCTTCTTAAAGGGCCTCTTTTTCTTCTCTTTCTTCTTGGGTGTTCTTCTTCTTCTTAGGGCTTCTTTTCTCTTCTTGGGCTTTCTTCTTCTTCTTCTCTTGGGCTGTTCCTTCTTACTTTCTTCTTGGGC